CACAGGACGGCGAAGTATATGCCACGGCGCTCAGCAGCAACCTCGGAACCTTGTCGCAGGGGAATAACAGCGATGCTGTCACTGTGCGTGGGAGCGGACTGCTGCCACCGCTGCTTCTTCTGTTGGGACTGTGGGGATTTGCGGCTCTGTGAGGAGTAACTGGCTGCCGCGTGGGACAATTGCGACCCCTTCCCAGCACAGAATTACTTCTGGAAAGAATATTTTTGATACTTTTACTTTTTTGTGCACATTTTAAATTTATTTTAATGTTTGCTACATTCTGGTTGATTTTTTTTTTCTCTTTTATGTGTTTTTGATTTTCTTTTTTTTTTTTTGCTTTTCACTACGCTTTTTAATTTTTTACCTTTAAAAAATTTTTTTTTCTATTTCTTACTACCCCATTCCTTTTTTTTCTTTTTTGCTTTTGGGGCAGTCACTATGGACGTTTTTTTCTTTTCTACTCCTCCATTCTTAATTTTTTCTTCTGCACTCTTCCTGTGAGGGGTGCCGTGTGTTTCCGCCCAACTGCTCCACTCGCACACCCACCGACACGCTCATGACGACGGCCCTGTGCGCCTCGCCTGCTGCACGCATGAGGAGGGGCCGCGACGAACGGCGCGCTGAGGGAGCCGTGACGTGTGGGCGTGCGACGATGGCCTGTGGGGCGGAGCACACATTTTTTCCCTTTTGTTTTGTTTTTTTGCGGCCAGGGCGGGCAGACACCCGCAGCGCCACACCCGCAGCCACACCCTGCCGCCGTGTTTTTAAGATTTTTTTGTTTTGCTTGTTCATTTCACGCGCTGGCAGTCCCGTCAGCATTTCTCTCCCTCCTGATGATTTTCTTTGTTTTTGCTGCGCTCACTTTCCCGATGGAGTGACGCGACTCCCGTCATGTCTGCGTGCTTCTCTCAGTCCCACACACACACGAGTGAATGCGCTCTGCGGGCCGCACTCACACGCCGATGAAAGGGCTGAGGGGAGCAGCAACACGCAGATGACCCCATGAAATATAAACGATGTGCGGACACACACGGAGGGTCAGACGGTTGAAGCACACGTAACCATCTTTTCAATTTTCTTTTGTGGGCAAAATGTATACAGACAGTTTGGTGTGGCCGCACGGCAGCCAGGCGACTTCTTTTTCTTGTTTTAAAATTTGTGTGGAACGGTAGTGGACGATTTATTTTTCATTTATAATTATTTTGTGTGATGGGGTTTACGTAAGACGAAGGGTAACGTTTCTTTTTGTTTGTTTGTTTGTTTTAAATAAATCCTGTGTGGATTGCCACTGCTTGGGCTGCAGCGCAGTCATGAGTTTGAGCGGTCTTCTTGTTGTTGTTTCCGCCATGCACTTCTGCTGTACATTTTTGTGCGTCCCTCCACGTACTCTGCCTCCTCTTTTTTACCTCTTTGCCTTGTGTTTCTGCAGGCACACAACCACACAAGGTGCACGTTGCAGTGGATTTGAATGCTCCTTTTGCAGTGCATGCTGGCAGTTGTGTGTGGCGGCTGTTTCCTTCTTCCGTGGCCATGAGGAGAAGGGAGGAGGGAGCGCGCAGCCCGAGTCTCCTTTCCTGCGGGTGTGATGCACCGCGTGTGACTGCGTTGAGTTGGGCACCGTGTCCCACTGAGGGCGGGATGGCAGGTAATTTTGTTGCCGCGCCATGGATGGATGAGGGTTCGCTTGCGCGTGTGCGTTGTGTGTTGGCCGCGGGTTTTTGCCATTTCCCCGGCGCTGCAATAATGGGCTGAGTGGAGATGGTGGAGGATGCCTTCTCCTCCTGCATGGTGGATGGCTGCTGGAGTTGTGTGCCATCCTTGCATGGATGCCGTCTCGTGGTGTGTGAACTGTGCGGCTGGGCCTGCTGCCTTCTCCTCATGTTGTCTGCTTTCTCTCGCTGTATCCGCTGCACTCCGTTCCTCTCCCTCTTGTTCCATTCTTTTCCTTCTGGCTCACGGATCAGCTGACTCCAGCGACTCCACTACGGGTGATGATGGCTGCGATGGTGGCGATGGTGACGGTGCGGCGCCGTGTTGGTCCTTGGGCTCTTGTGCCGCTGCTGCTCTTCTGTGTGCGTTACGGCCGCTGGGAGTGCTGGACATGTATCTGGTGATGCGAACGCGGTGGTTGTGTCGGTGGATGTGCTATGTACTCCGAGTGACGGCAGCATGAGGTATCGCGTGCGTGTGTGTGTGTGTGCATGGAAGAGGTGTTCTGCAGCCAGTGCTGAGGCTCAGCATGGGAATTGTACTTTCAGTGGCTTTGATGTGCGCATGCATAGCAGAGATGGTGAGCTGGCTGCTCTGTGTCATGTGCTCAATGCGGTGCACACGTCTAGCAACTGTGCTACCAGCTGTGCAACGGAAGAGGAAGGGGCCACCGTTGCCTTCACGATGAATGTGACGACACATAAATACGCCGGCCCTTATGAATTGCTGTGGCGTCAATTTCCCCCGATGGAACCATCCATCCGCCTGCACGGAGCGGCGATGCTGACCAGACGGGCGTCTGTCAGTTGCCGCCACCCCGTGAAGGGAAGGATGACACAAAATCTGGTGGGACAACTGCGCCGCAAGTCAATGCTGAGCCGTCACGTCAGAACGAGGATTGGCGACGGTCTGCGGCGGCTGACGGACCCAACACCGTCGATCCGAGTCCCGCATCCAACACGGCGACCAACACGTCCGAGATGAGGCCTGAGTTTGCCAGCAATCCGAACGAAATAATGGTCCCGAATGCGTCCAAGAAGAGGCCCTCCTTTGCCAACGGTCCGAGAATAGTAGTGGCGTCGAATGCATCCGGGATCATGTCTGTCACTTGTGGCGGCAGGGAACACGTTGCTGCGGATAACACGGACGAGTTGAGTGAGCGCAGCGCCACTGGACACAAAACTCTCGTTTTAGAAAATGGCGTTGCAGGCAGTGGACCGGCCGCTGAGGGTGATGCGGGCGGATTGAGTCAACGCAATGCCTCTGGACACGAGAACCCCAATTACGAGAATTCACCGCGCGGTATTCCGGGAGTGGCGGGAGTCTACACGACTGCTTTGCCCTGCTCAACGACGCGAAATTGACACTGCGTGATTTGACTGTTGACGGCACTGTGCGTGTGTGCGTGTCTTGTGTGTTGCTACTTCTTTTGGGACTGTGTGGAGTTGTGGCAGAATTATAAGCCAAAGAGTGTGGAATTGCGACTCCTCACGGAGAACATGTGCCGCTTTGCATGCGTGTTTTCTTTTATTATTTACATTTTACTTTGTTGGCTTTGTTTTTTTCCTGGAATGATAAAGATCTTTGCTGTTCCTTCATTTAATGGTCGGTTGCTGCACACTGTCATGAGGGACGTGTTTTCCCCTCTTGTTTGCTTTTTTTTGCCCTCACGCGGTGCCGGCCTCATTGCTGTGCGTCCCACGGACTGTACGAAAGGAGGAGTGGAGGAACAGGCCGGATGCCGCAATGAAGTGTGAAGAGTTTTTTGTGGGCCTACGGAAGCGTACAATCTTTTTTAATTTTATTCAGTGCGGGAAATATGTGTACACAGAAACACATGCTCTTATTTTGCCGCTTGGCGCATAAATTAAAACACCGGCCGAATGAATTTTCTTTATTTTTTTTGGAGTCCTGCCGGACGCTCAACTCTGTTTTTCCTTGCTCTACTTCTGGCTTGCAGGGGTGTGCGGCGTCGTTTGGAAGTACCGATGGGCGACCATCCGCATCCAGGCGTCATCAACGGAATGTGACGGCAGCAGGAGGCACTGCGGCTTCTTTTGGCTTTGCACAAAGAGTTTATTGGACGGTGCGTTTGCCTTCAATCTTTTGCAGCTTTTTTGGGAAAAGGTGGGAGGCTGAGTGCATTAGGACTGAATTCATTTGTGTGGCTGCGTTCCGTTGACTTGCGGCCATTCGTGGCACCCTTTTGGGGTTTGGCAGCTCGTCTCTTTTGTTTACTTTCCACCGCAGCACGTGGAGGCCACTGATCCGAGGGACATTTGTTTGACTGCGTGTGAGCCGCTGCCGTGCGTGGTGCATGGACTATTTGATTGTGTGGGGAGGTGCATGGAGTGAAGAATACTTCTGTTTGGCGTGTCGCGGTGTGTCGGAATGATGTTCGGATGACATGTGGAGGGTGTTGTTTGTGGTTTTTGTGTCTTCTCTGGTGGAGCCGACATGTGTGCGGGATTGTGGCATTGCTGGCTGACAGCTCCACGTCACTTTTCAGCATTCCTGGATGTGCTGAGGAATGACGGCTGGCGACCAGCGTGTTGGTGCTGCCGGTGGGAATAAGTGCATCGGGAATAGGCCGGTTTCTCTTTTCCGTGCTGGAGCCGATGAACTGGCACGAGGGCACCGGCTGCAGGCTGCCTGCCAGCACGTGTGAGCAGCGGATGCACGCACACACCGACGCTCATCGCAAGAGCTTGTGTGATCACGGTGGCTTTTGTGGCGTGTTTTTTTGAACGTCAGCCCATCGAAGAATGTGTGAAGCAAACGGCTGACTGCACACGAGGAAAATAATTGCGTGCACTGTGCCGTGTTTCAGCGTCGATGGCAGAGCGGCAGGAAGCCCGTGCTGGCAACTGAGATCTTTGCGTCGCGAGGGATGTCGGTGTTGATTTTGGATTGTCGAGGGTGAAGTGATTTTGCTCTGCCCGTGTGTGTGGCCACTCCGGCAGAGGGCGGGCTCAAAAGGGAGGGATGCAGGCGCTGCGTGTGTGTGTGCAGGTGCCATGCAACAACGTCACAACAAACATGCTGCGACTCGGTGACCCTCACATCGTTGTGGTCCTCACGAACAGCCGAGGCGCGGCCCACACCGATGCACTTAGTGGACGGAGTGAGGCATCTTTTGAGGCGCAGCAGGGAAAAGGATGTGTTGACGCAGCCACGACGTGCATGGAGTGTCACGATGGTACGGTCAGCTGTGGCTGGTGGAATGTTTACTTCTCGGAGGCAACAGAGAGAGAGGGAGAGAGCTGTTCCTGCTGCTGGCGTCGTTGCTGCCTTTTGTGGCCTCCCATGCCGATTATTGTCTGTCCGCTGATCATGGGTGGCATGCCTCCACTAGTGCTGTCGTATGCAGGCATTCCACAGCACCAGTGAAGCACAAATCACGTCGCATGCTTTGGCTGTGGATGTGGTGTCGTGAGTGCAGCCGGCATTATTTTGCCCGACTCCCTTTCACTGCTTTGCGACAAATAGATGCGTCTCCGCCCGAGCCATTCACTGCAGCTCCGTGTGTTGTACTGCCAGCACAAGACTCTCCTGTTGTCTGGCGCCTGACTGACGGTCCAACACCACTGCGTTGGGACTTGCAAGGATGTGGACTGCCGCTCACGGTGTTGGGCACCGCTGTTTGGATGCGGCGGCCACACGAGCGGATTTATTGTGGCACAATCAAATGCGTGAATTACGCGGAGTCACAGCGGCTGCAGTAATATCAGCGGTGTGGCACCACGGAGTATGTGAGAGGGTGATGCATGGTGAATCACGGTGGGCGGCATGCGAGGGAAGTGCACCGCGACGGAGCGTCATCCCGCCCTCAGCCTGCAGGGGAATGTGCACCCACAAGAATATATGGACGAGACACCACCAAACACACATGCCCTTCTGTGCAGCGATAAATAGGAGCGAAGGTGCGTTCTGGTGCGTGGGAGTCCACTCACATATTCTCATTTCCACCGCAGTAAACGGCGAGGAATCAGGTGCCACAGCAACGAAAGGAAAAGCAAACATCTATTGCAACAGTTTACCAGCGAGAAGCAGGAACAACACAAACCGAATTCTTGGCTGCAACAACACAAGAAACATTCAAGAGAGGAAAAAATAATTGTGCACCCTGCAGAAATCCCCAACACACGACCCAGGCATGAATTTTTGCCCTCCCCAAAAACAAAACGAAAAAGCATGCGGACATCTGCCAACATCCAAACTGAAACACAAATAAATGGTTGCTTCCATTATTCCATTCCTTGCGCTTATTTTTGCGTGTGCTGCTGCTGCTGCTGTGGTTTCCAGGCCTGCATGAAGTGGTGTGCGCTGAATATGAACGAAGGCCGATGGCAACTGAATTGTTTTTTTTTGATGAATATTGGGTGCGATTCCCGTGGACCAAAAACTTACGTGGTGTGCGGGGATCTCTCCCTTTTTGTATTGTTACTTTGCTTTTGTGTTGCTTTCTGCGCTGCACCTTCTTGTGTGTGTGCGTACCCTCCGTGAGGGGTGTCGACACGACGGACCGCTCTCGCCGTGTGTACATGCGGTGGAGCCTTGTGTGCCGCCCTGCTGGTCTCTCCCTCTTCCATCTCTGTATATATATATGTGTGTGTGTGTGTGTGCCTGTTGCCGTGGATTGGAGTGTGTGTCGTGCGTGGTGTGCGGCGTACGGTGCATGCCTGGCTGCTGCCCTTTCCTCATGTGGTGTGCCCTCTGTGTGTGCCGCACCTCTCTTCTCCTCCGTTGCTCTCCATGTCTCTCACTGTGCAGATCAGCTTCACACCACTGAACGACCACACTCACGATGATGACGAAGTGCCGTCTGCTGTGCGCCCTGTTGGTGCTTGCCCTGTGCTGCTGCTGCCCGTCCGTGTGCGTTTCAGACACTGTGACGGCAAAAGGGTTAAATAAGACTGATGTAAGCGTCCCAAGCCCACCGTCCAATTCACCATCCACGACGGCCGGTCAGTCAGGGTCGTCAGATTCGGGCTCTGGTCCGGACAAAGGAAAGGATGCTCCAGGGACACCAGGTGGGCCGAGACCAACCGCGGATCAAACACATAAGAAAGCGAAAGATCATGCCGAGACGACCACGACGACTACGACGACCACGACGACCACAACAAAACCACCGACTACGACAACGACGACTACAACGCAGCCACCAACCACGACGACCACCACTACAACACATGCACCAAGTACTACGACTACAGAGGCGCCAACTACAACGACCACCAGCGCACCGTCACGTCTTCGCGAAATCGACGGCAGCCTCAGCAGCTCTGCGTGGATGTGTGCCCCGCTGGTGCTCGCCGCATCCGCGCTGGCGTACACCGCTCTGGGCTGAGGAGGTGCATGCGGTCTGTGCGTGCCAGCACTCAACCGCGGGGATTTGTGCGCGTGTGTTGTGGTTCACTGTATAAAATAAGAGATAATAATGATTGTGTTTTGCTTCGCTTGCTTCTGCTGCCGTGCTGTGTGCTCCGCGTTGTGCCCCGCATCCGTCACGTTGAACGCATCCCGGACACACTCATACGCATGCGCACTGGAGCCCTGGGTTTGTTTTTCTTTTCTTTTTTAATTATTGTTTTTAATTATTGTTTTTTATTGCTTTTTAAACTTGTGGTTTGCGGGGCGGTGTGCGAGCTCTGCAATCGCACTGATTCCATCTGTCTCGTGGTGTGTGCGCTGCTGCTGGGGTGCTGCCATTTGTTGCTGTGCGTGGCTGTGCGTGGTGTAGCGGCTGTGTCTCCCTTTGTTTTTCTCGTGCTATCGCAGGTTGGCTCCGCAGCGTTAGGCGACTCCACTGTTTGTGATGATGACTGGCCGTGTGCTCTGCGTCCTGTTGACTCCTGCAGTGATGCGCAGCTGCTCGTGCGTGTGAGTGAGGGCTGCTGCGACGGGGTGCGTGTGCGGCCGCGGGTGATGACGCGGTGACTGCTGGGCACGCGCAGTGTGTGATGGCTGCGGAAGGTGGACCCGTGGCCGGTGGCTCTGGACGAAAGGGGAATGTGAACTCTGAGGACAATAGCAATCAGGAAGACGAGGAGGGTGGGGGAAGTATTGCGGGTGAGGACCATAATCCCACCTCGGGAGGAGCACTCACTGCACCGACGAGGCAGGACCAATCCAGCAGCGACCCACTGCAAAGTGGCACTTGCAATCCGTCCGGCACTGGCAGCGCGTCTGCTGCTCGGATGCGTGCAAGTGGACCGGAGTCTTTGGGCGGAGGGCACGCTGCAGGCACAACATCCCCACGCTCCGACGCATCTCAGCAGGCAGCAGGTGGAGTGCATGCTGGTGGCGGGAGGACCTCCCAGGGCAGTCAGGCTTCGGAACAAACCATCACGGGACAGTCACAGGTGCCAGGGACGGCGAATGAAGCACCGCGGGGCGATGAAGGAGGAGAACCCGGAGCGCAACACGAGGCCGACCAAACCACAAAAATGACTGTGGTGACCTCTTGCGCAAAAACAGCGGTGGAAGAGGAGAGCCGCCAGCGGGATCGCAAGATGCACCACGTCTCTACAGTGGCGGGAATGCTCATTATTATTATTTTCTCCTGCTCTTACCGACATGTCTAGCCACACGATGTCATCAGGGTGCCGAGGAGGTGGTCGAGCAGCGACATGAGTTTCCTGCTATGAGGCAACTGCCATTGGAAGAAGCTTTCGGTGCAAGGGTCCTTCTTAATGCCCAGCCGTTGGCGCACAGCCAGAGCGTCTGTACATTCTGGAAGCAGTTGGTACAGTGTTTTCTGCGGGCTAATTGTTGCGCTTGTGGAGGCTGGCTGATCCTGCGGTAGCAGAGATCGCCTCCTGGCACTGCTGCTGCGGTGCCGTGTGGCGTCTGGGTTTTGTGCGCAGCGATTTCTGTGCTGTGCGGTGCTTTTTTTGTGTGGGGAAAACCATGTCACAGAAATCACATTTGAGCTCGGGAAGCGGTGGAGGATGTTCCGGATGAAAGCACCGACAGTGACCGATGTGGTTCGTGTGTCCCACCAGTGTGGCGTCACAGTGCGGGCATTTCTTCTTTCGACGCTCTGTGGAGGGCCGTCTCTCCACAGGCGGTGCATCGGCCTCCCTTGCCGTCGGGGGAACAGCTTCCGTCCCGGTGCAGTGGGATCGTCGTTGGAGCGCATGAAAGCGGAGTGTTCCGGTGAGATGTTGCGGAAACGGCGTTGGTTCGTGCAGTCTCTCACAGTCCAGTACAGGCGACCCCAGAGCTCGGATTCCCCGCACCTTGCCCTTGCGAGGTGTATCTGTTCCTGTTGGTCGAGGGCTTCCTGAGTGATTAGGTGCTTGCCGCCTGGATCTGATGGCCTTGTGCCGCCAAGCAGGTAGTGGTGGGTGTCCTGATGCATGGTACTACGCCACTTGTTGGTGAGCTGGGTGTTAATGCATGACAGCAGATCCGTGTGCCATATGGGTGCTATTCCATGCTCCGTGTGTTGCCAGGTTGCCGTGGTCTGCGTCGCATGCTGATCTGCAGGCTCGTTAACGTGTACTCCGCGATGTTCGTAGCAAGCTGCAGCTGCACGGACCAGCCAGCACACGTCAGTGTCAGGAGACGCTGCCAGAGCCGATCCTCCGTCCAGTCGGTATGACTGTGCGGGCCCTTGTTTAGAGCCGCTAGAAGAGAATGACTTTCCGTAACCACAAGCAGCGTTTGTGTCTGTGCTGGATACGATGGATACTCAGCCTTTCCATGGCCGGAAGCAGTGCACGGGATTCCGTCGTGTGGCTGCATGGGCGTGTGCCGCCGTTGGTACTGACCTTCTCTATTATTTCCGAGGAATGCGGGGATGAGAGCAGTATGCCAATCCCGGCTGAATTGGGAATGCCGACACCGCCATCCGTTGCCAGTATCCACGGTCCCCAGCGATGATGTTGCACCTTGTCGCGGTGCTGGGGCTCTGGTTGCTTTTAGGAACTTCGCGGCAGGGCGTTTCTGCGAGCACGACGGAGACCAAGACGACTTCATTCCCCGAGAGGGTTCCACGCCATGCCCGGTGTGGGGAGGTGAGACGGTCTGCTTGCAGACTGTCGGACAAAACTGCACGACCGTTTCGCAGCGGTCACTCCGTTGATGTCACCCGTGGCGGTGACGTCCACAAGAACCATGGCCCGAGGAGGATGGTTTCATTGCTCTCTGGAGGCCCAACATCGCAGGCTTCTCGTCCGTAAAAAGATTGTATTTGCGGCGCGACTGGAGCAGCGTCCAACTGACATCGTTCTTCTGAAGGAAATAAGTAACCGTGGTGACGTGGCGACGAAATTATCTGGCTATAATGACTGCCTTCAGGCCTCACTGGGCGCGGTGGTGGCGTTGCCGTTCTGGTGCGCCACTCTCTGCCGTGCGAGCGCCTGTCGCTCCCTGGCACTGACTTCCTGGAGACCATTGCTGTCCGTGTATTTCCGCCGGGCTGTCGCAGCATTTGCGTGGCGAGTCTCTACAACCCTCCCACAGCAATTGGTCAATAATCCGCATTTATCAATATCGTTTGTCGCTTGTGCCCGAAGAGATTATCGTGGGTGACCTGAATTTGCATCATGAGCTCTGGGAAAGTCATATATACCATCAAGGAATGGAGGCGATAACTTCGCCGCTGTTCTAATTGATATGGATTTTGGGCTGGCAAATGACCCGACACAGGCAACACGGATCACACATCGTAATGCCTTGTCCCCTGACGTGACTGCGTATCGCGCCCTACGCATCTCCCACCGGACATTCGCCCCTTACATGGACTCGGACCACTGTTGAATATATTACTCGGCAGGGATGGACGATGGCACTCCGCGACTAGCCAACACGCTGCCTTGATGGAAGGAAGCCACCTTTGCCCTGCGTAAAGCGGATTGGTCTGCTTTTACATCGTTGTGTGAAACCCTCCTTGCCACCGCGTCCACATGGTTGGATCCTCGCGGAGGCATCTTACGAGCAGCTGAGCGCCAAATCCCGCGCGGCAGCCGTGACAGCTCCAAAAAGATATGGACACACGAAATGGAACAGGCCGAGTCCGCCGCCGAAGCAGCACACGAAGCACACACATTGCCTCACCCGGAGACAGCCTACTTTGAGCCGAATGTACCAGAAAAAAAGGAGGAACGAAATCAAGCCTTACGCCGTTGCTCCGCTGTGCTTCTGGAAGCCCGCGCGAAAAGACTTGGAGCCTCACCCAGCCCGAGCTGGCGATATCTTCGCGGCGTGGCGCCGCCGCATCCTCATCCTCTGGAATCGGTTGTGCTCCGCACTGATATTGGCCGCGTTTGCTCCCTGTCTCGGCAACAGGCAAATCTGCTTGTCCGTCATTTTGTGCTGTCTCACGTGCCACGTTACATTATACTGCTGCTCGCTGCACTCCTTTGGTTCCTGGTGACTGGAAAATGGATCGGCCCTTCGCGTCCTATGAACTTGAGGTGGCCGTTCGTGACTCCTCGCTTGGCCCAACCCCTGGCCCCGACGACATGTTGAATGAATTCCTGCACCGCCTCCGTTATGTTGCACGCGGCACTCTTAGAACGATGATCCACAACTCCTTCGCAAACGGCAGCCTGCCTGGCTCCTGGAAAATGGGAGACGCTATTTCTATCCCCAAGCCTGGGAAGGATTCATGCCACCCAGAGAGTTACAGACCTATCACGCTGCTCTCTGTTTTACTACAATTAACCGGGGGAATGATTCACCGCCGTCTGTCAGCGTTATTGCCGCACCGCCCACGTCACTTTGGACTTGCACCTTCGCGTTCTACGTCGGACGTGATGACACTTGTCATCGATAGAATTACCCGTGGATTGAATGAGTTCAGCACTGTGGAGTATGAGCGCCCTGGAGACGACGCCCCACACGACGCCCTCGTCGCCATCGCTCGTAGTTTTGATTGATTTTCCGACTGCGTTCGACACCGTTGACCATTGGAATTTGTTCCGCATGCTTGACAGACTTCCGCGCCTTGGCCCACGAACCAAACGCTGGTTGCACAACTACCTGCGGGGCCGCTATGTTAGGGTATGCACTCGTGAACAGCACTCCCGGAAACAATTCGCCTCAGCTGGAGTACCGCAAGGCGGCGTCCCGGGACCCCAACTCTCCCTCCACTGTGTGGATGGTCTGCTGCGCCGCCTGGGCAGCATCTATTCTGCTTCCGCATTCATGTACGCTGACGAACACACACTTGTTGCCTCAGGTGCAGACATCCATGCCTGTGCTGCGGCAATGCGACCGCTCTTGTCTCTTGTGGCTACATGGGCTGCCGAGCACAGCCTAAAAATCAACGTCGCTAAGAGCGAAGCTGCTCTATTCTACATCTCTTCACACACACACGGTCTGACGAGGAAATGGTCG